TTTCATTTGGAATACTAGATTGGTATAGTAATTGTAATGTAATTAATAGTAGAATGTAATGTGATTTAGAATGGTAGATTGGAATGCATTTCTCTGGTCTGGGGGCAGAGGAGATATACACTGCACAGTCAATCACCCCCACCTCAAAGAAAAGGATGCTGTAAAAGGACTTCCACACTTGAGATGAGAATGATGGAGCATAACTATAGGATCTCAGTTAATTACTCTCAGCATTTCAGAAATATCTATCACCAGTTTTCATATATGTATTTTCTTCACTATGTTTTCACCTGGAATTAAACCCAAACAAATGGTGACCATATAAACCAAGTTTGTTATTCCAGTTTGGTCCTTTCATCTGTAAAATACTATTATGCTTATGCTAATTTGCTGCTCACCCTCTACCTACATGTATGGACTGGTAACTTCCATTTCAATGTATCTGAAGAAGTGTGCATGCACTCAAAAGTTCATACCTTGAATAAAACTTCGTTGGTCTTAAAGGTGCCACTGGACTCAAACTTTATTTTGCTGCTTCAGCCCAACATGGCTACCCACTGGAATCTATGTCTTTCTCTGTTAAAGCAAAAACTGAGGCTTGTGCAAAAGTAGTCTAGTGGGACCCTTAATCCTCCTTGACTGACCATTCTGGCTTAGTATATGCCAGCTTTTGAGATTGGGTCCCATTACAGCCATGCTTGAATTAGAATTATTCGAAACGCGGCATCAGGCATCCGGATTACGCGTCTTATGGCTCAGAAAATTTGATGACTTACACTTCAATTTGGACTCTGATATTTGCTTCTATTTTGGAGTAGACACATGGAAAGACTGTAGACTGTGCTTCTATTATGCTTTATTATTGTACCTTGGCCAATTGATTCATATTATACTTGCTGTTATGCTTATATGATTATTATATACTTGCTATTTTCAGTCAGTGGTGTGCTCTTTGCAACTCTTCTGGTATCCCAAGGACTGCGATGAGTAGGACTCTTATCAATAATTTATATAGAATAGAGATTTCCCTGTGTGTTGCTGAGCGCTTTTTCTCCATAAACATCTCAAACATGATAAGTGGGCGTACTTTTTTGTTGCCCAAGTTCCAAACAATGATGTCAATTGCGAGTATTCAAACCAGGATAGGTGACAGTGGTATTTTTGTTCCAATATCTCTTTGGTGGCTAGCTTGTTTCCCTGCAAAACATCAACAAAGCGCGTAATATGATGTGCGTGCCACACCCTGAAAGTTCCTGCCTGTCTGGCCGGGGGAAACCAAGTTTGGTGAGTAAATGAAGTCAATGGAGAGGGTGATGGAGCTAACAATGCTCTGCGTCTGTCCCACACTTTGAAAGTATTAACCAAAAATGGGCTTAGGGTAAGCTCTTTAGGTCTAATGGTAGGCTTTTCCCATAGCATTGATTGTAAAGAGTTTCTGTTTAAGTACCGAAAAGACACTTCTCCCGTTTTACTTTGAGGCCGGCATTTTGGAAACGGTGGAGGATGGCGCGGAGTCGGAAGGTGAACTTGGCTGGCATGGCCGCGGCGATGATCACATCATCAAAGAACGGGGCGACGCCTGGTATCCCTTTTAGAAGAGAGTCCATTAACTACTGGAACAGGCCCGGGGCCATGCTCACCCCGAACTGCAGTAAATAGTTACAAGAATGGGCACAGTGATGAGACAAATGAAAAACGGAAAAGAACTGTGACAATTTAGCGCTTAATAATATATTCATAAATCATAATATACAATAACAAAAATATAAATAGTGAATGTAGTAGACGGTGGTCTCCGGAATGATGTGCCGTTTCGAAAATGATCTTCTTCTGAACAAGGAGGTGTACATAAACTATCCTTCAACAATTCATTACTCTTGCCTTCAGCAACCATAGCCCACTGAAGAACATAGCTGTAAGCATAGCTTTATGATGAAGCGAATCAACAGTATATTGTCAATACGTCACCAAGAGTAATGAATTGTTGAAGGAGAGTTCATGTAAACCTCCTTGTTCAGAAGAAGATCATTTTCGAAACGGCACATCATTCCAGAGACCACCGTCTACTACATTCACTATTTATATTTTTGTTATTGTATATTATGGTTTATGAATATATTATTAAGCGCTAAATTGTCACAGTTCTTTTCCGTTTTTCATTTATTTCACCCCGAACTGCAGCCACTTCACCTTGAACGCCCCCCTGTGGGTGACAATGGTCTGCGCCTTGGCGTCTGCCTCGTTGACCGGCAGCTGCTGGTAAGCCTGGGCCAGATCGAGTTTCTCAAAGATCTTAGCGCCCGCCATGGTGGCCAGAACGTGGCTGACTACAGAGACTAGGCAAGCGTGGTCCTGGAGCACTCTAGTAAGGGTACACTTGTAGTCCGCGCAGATGCGGACATCCCCGTTTGGTTTTATGGACGTGACTATAGGGGTCTCCCACACCACATGCGAGACCAGTTCCAGGACTCCTTGGGCCACAAGACAGTCCAGTTCCGCATCGATCTTAGGCCTTAATGTAAACGGAACAAATACTGGGCCAATTCCACAAGTGCGTGGCCGCAGGACCCCAAAAGCAGGCCTTTCTTCCTTGTCCGTCACCTGGTAGAATATGAGGACGGATTTGAGGCCGGTGACCCAGGCTCCCCATTGCTGCGGACAGGTTGGATCGAAAGGAGGTACCAGCCCGCATCCTGGAGCAACTGCCATCGTGCCTGTTGGTTGTGACCTGGAGGAAGCCGCTTGCTCCCCCTCGGTGCTCATCAGTCGAGCGTAGAAAGCGGCGCGTTGTCTTCCAAGGCAGCTCCGACAGCCCGGCCAGCTCAGCGGGATCCCACCTTCGTCGCCATTGTTGTGTAGTGGGCTCGACGCATGAAAGATCACAGAGTCGGTGTGATGCAAAGCATGGTTTACTGGACACAACATGAACTGACTACAACGGACCATGTGGCCCACTATATACAGTACCCAAAGAGACACCCCTAGGTCCTATTGGAGGCTGAACTCCCCGCCAAAGGTCCTATTGGTTCCCGAAGGAAGAGTCCAGGAGCCTAGTCCCTATTGTCCTAAGGACTCAAGCTCACGCAAATATCGCTGTCGTCTAGTGGCGGTCAGCGGACATAACACCTGGGTAAAAAAATATGTTTTAGCATGGCTCCTAAAAGAAGTAAGAGGCAAAACAAAGTAAAGTAGATGCCAGAGCCTCAAGGAGGAGAGAGAGCTTTTCAAAGGGAAAGTGCCACCACAGAAAATGCCCTGTCTCTAATTGCTGTCTGCCTCACTTCTGAAAGCAGGAGTACAGAGACCAGGGTTTGAGAGGCAGGTCAAGTTTTTTAAAATTTCCCCCCCTCAAAACAGTTAATTTTATATCTCTAATTTGCACAAGAATCAACCAGTTGATTACTATAATATCTTTTTGCTTTGCTAATAAAGTTAATATTGTAAAAATACTTAAACAATATTTGACTAGTCAATTGACTCAAACTTTTTTGACTGATGAAATGGCAATCCCTCCAGGGTCCATTTATGAAATCAGCATAGAATTAAGTGATGTGACCTGGATATTTTGGCATACACTGCTGTGCTACAAATACTTGGGCACTGGGTAGATCTGACAAAAACAAACAATATTCCATCCTATTTCAATCAGAATGGAGGTTGAAAATGTTTATACAAGCATTATTTTAGCATCATATAGAGACCTAACGCATTCTGCAAACAGGAACTCAAGGTTTGTTTTAAATCAGTAAGTTCATGGAATCAGATGGCATTTAATAAACTCAGAAGGAAATCCAATCAAATACTGACCAGACCAAGCATTGCAAAACACTTCATCATCAGTCTATAAAACCCACAAAATAGGTAGTTTTTGTAACTATGGCAGTAACATACCCAACGACCTTGTCTGAAGGATTATCCATATCATTGTCTTTGGTAATGTTAACAACTCTTAAAGGGGTCACAATCAGCTCAAGAACTTTCATGTTGGTTCAGGATTTCTAAAAAATATATTCACAATAAAAAAATGACCAACAGAAACAGAACACGACCATTTACATCCCATTTGATTGGTTTTTACCTTCCTAGTTATCCTCTTCCTTCACTTTGCATCAAGTTTGCCACCTTTGTTGTTGTTGTTCAGTCGCACAGTTAAGTCCGACTCTTTGCCCAGACCACGGCAGGCCCTCCTGTCTTCTGCTGTCCTCTGAAGTTTGCTCAACTTCATGTTCGTTGCATCTATGACACTGTCTAACCATCTCATCCTTTGCCGTCCCCGTCTTCTTTGACCTTCAATCTTTCCCAGCATCAGGGTCTTCTCCAGTGAGTGCTCCCTTCTCATATGGTGGCCAAAAGTATTTGAGCTTCAGCTTCATTATCTGGCCTTCCAGGGAACAGTCAGGGTTGATTTCTTTAAAGATTGACTGATTTGATCTTCTTGCAGTCCAAGGGACTCTCAAGAGTCTTCTCCAGCACCATAGTTCAAAAGAATCTATTCTTCGGCGCTGGACCTTCCTTATAGTCCAACTCTCGCAGCCATACATGACTTCTACTGCCACCTTTTAGTCCCATAAAAACTTTAGCATCTCCAACTGAGTGCCTCTGAGCATGTGTCGTCCGTCCCCCCCCCCCCCCGTGGTATTTGAGTTGGTGGCACTGAGGGGCAATAATCCCATATGCCCTGAGCTCCTCTGGAAAAAGAAGAAATAGGATAGAATGAGTTTGAAGGGGGGGGGGGACCACATGGGTTTTCTGCCTTTATATCTTCCTTTACCGGTAAACAACCAAGGAGATGTGATTTTAGCCAATCCACCGAAATTCCGTCTTAATTTTCAGCGGGGAGGAAACCAGGGGCGGACGTGTTAAGGAGAATACTTAGAAACAACTCTCTCTGGGAGCTGTTCCCACTAAATCCACGAAACATGAGCGCTCTCAAATGCAAATCCTGTGATAGAAATGCACTTTGCATCATCTCACTGAAAATAAATACCAAGGCTGCTTAGTTTGGCTTTCCTTCCCCTTCTGCTGGCTGCCTACCATCAAAACACTCTGTAGCCCACGAAAGCTTTTGCCTCCATACAAGGCTACTTTTTACAGGTTCCTCTGAGGGAAGCGTCGCGAAAATGCGTCCTTCTTTCTCCCGCCCCATATTTTACCTCAGAGGCGGAAGGAAAAAGCCGGTTACGGCTTCTCAAAGTAGAGAAAGCGGGAGGAGCACGGAAGACCAGCAGCCGGATGTGACTGGCTGAGGGGCGGTGATAGCAGCTGCGGCCCGGCCTCCATCTTGGCTGCCCTTGGCGAAGAGGCGCGGGCGGCGATGATGAATTAGGAAGAGGGGCGGGGGGCTTCTCGCCTGTTGAGGTAAAAAGTGGAGGGACGCAAAGAGAGGAACAGAAGGCGGCTTTTCGAACTCGTTGCCGCTGTCTTGGAACGTAGCAAGGGGTTTTTTTTTAAGCCAGCGGGTTGCAGCTCCTGCCTTATTTTTGTCGCAGTCATCCCCGCTTAAAATCGTGTTAAAGTCAAGGGAATGTTAGAGAAAGCGGCGTGCATGCAAATACAGCGTGACCTTAATTCGTTGTCTCGTGAAATCCCAGTGAGTTCTAAGCGGTATCTACATGCAGCAGAAGTGGTAGAATATACTAACCGTTTTCGACTGTAGTTGGTGCTCTATATTAAAAGCTCCCCACAAATAGAAAACCAGCTCAGCAAGCGAAGAGGAGAAAGTAGCTTTCTCCCTGCTGGGCTAGTTTTCTGTTTCAGTACATGCACATCAGTAGTACATGAAGCTGTTTCATACTGAGGCAGTGCACTTAGCAACTGGATTTTACTCTGTGAAATGGCAAAATCTACTTGCATACGATCACTGAAGTGTATTGAAAGTGCATTTGTGTTGACAATCTTTAAAACTGCAGTTTGTGTCAACATTCTTGTGACTTTATTAGAGAGGACATTGGTTGTAGTTAGACTGGTTGCTAAAGCAATGAGGGTTGGGTCCATGCAATGATGGAAGCTTTCTAGAAATCAGGATTTGGCAGAGGGGTGGGGTGAAAGACTAGGCTTATCCTGAAAGCAATGAGGACTCCTTGTGGCTTCTAAATCAGTTAACTTTAGGAAATCAATAATGATTCAGTGTATTGCAGTCTACCTTCTCACCTGTTTTATCTTTCAGTTATATATTTACTCCACTATTTCTTGAAGGAGCTCAGGGTATCATACATAGTCCTCATACCAGCCCTGTGAGGTTACACTAGGAGACAGGGTCTGGCCCAGCATCACCCAATAAGGTTCATGGTGGAGTGAGGACTTCTACCCAGGTCTTCTCAGCCCTGGTTTCATCAATTTAACCATTACACTGGTTCTTTCCTATCTGCAATCCCATTCTCAGGGAATCAAATGTCTCTTGGCAAGGCAAAGTATTCTAGGGCAACTGTGATTTGAAGCCATAACCCAATACTCTTAAAATTTAATGTGGCAGTTACTGTAGTGTGGCTTCTGACAGGTGGAGTTAACAAGCTCTGAGCGCTAGCCAGGAGAGAGCTGTTCTTAATTCTGGTTTATTCTTTTTGGAAATTAAAGGGGACATAAGAAGAATATAGAGGAGAGCATGACCCTGAAGAAAAATGAAGTTTCCTTGTCTTTCCTTCCGACAACCATACGCTGGCTTTGTTTTAAATAGAGTAAAAACAATAGAGACACGTTGGCGTCCAATGCTGGCTGAGTACAAGTCCTGCACCCTTGCTATCCACATTGCTTTTAAAGATTGGGATGACATAACCTGGAAAGATTTCCTTAGGAACAGACTTGGCATGACATCTCCTGAGATTGAAGAGTTGCTATATGAAGGTGAAAAGTTTGGTAGAGGTGTTATAGCTGGTAAGTGATGGTGACACTTGTGTTGCCTGTAGTGTACTTCTTACTTAAACTGAGATCTGACTACTTCTTACTTAAACTGAGATCTAAGAACAAAGGGAACCACAGGAGTTTACTTGAGAACGAAGGAAGGGAAGGGGGGTAGTGGCAACAAGTAAGGCGAAATGTAAAAGGGGGCTGGATGTATTTAATTTCACAGGACTTTACCCTAGTAGAGAAGTTTGGGTAGTCTCCTTGGAAATCAGAAGTGGGAAGCTGACATAAATTTTGTTCTGAAGCTAATGCATTATTTATTGTTTAACTATAGGGCTAATTGACATTGGAGAGACATCACAGTGTCCAGAAAATTTATCTCCTGAAGATCGTTTGGATCTGGAAAATAAAGCCTTACTTTTGGGTTTGGAGCAGAAATACTTGACAGTGATTTCAAACCCAAGGTGGTTGCTGGAACCAATTCCTACCCGAGGGCACAAAGATGTCTGGCAAGTGGAAATCCCCGATGAACTCATTCCTTCCATGTAACACAATTGAAGATGTTGTATTGATGGCAGCTTGACTCTTATGTTGCCAACTCACATGCAGGCCTTTCATGAACCAGAACCATTCATTGTAACTGATCCTAACACCTGGATATATGGATTAGGGCTGTGAGGTGAAGACGGTGGAGCATGTGGTTGAAAAGGGGGCAGGATCACTTTGGGTACTACAGATAATGTAGTAATAGTGGTTATTAACATATGTGCATGTGCAATTTAAGTTTCTCATAGTAAGATAATTGTGAATAATTGTATGCATATAATGTATGGCATAACTAGGTGTGTCTTATTAACCAGATGAGTAAAACAAATTGATACTCAGTTGATCCTTTTTTTTTTCCTTTCAAGGGCTTGTCACTTTTTACTCCTGCTGGGTGCTCAGCAGGTGATCATTCCCAGCTAAAGAAGTTTCTTGTCATGATCCCAGGAATACATACTATGAAAATTGCTAAGAGCTGGGCTCAGTCTCCTTGGGCACAAGCCTCATAGTTAGGCTGTGACAGTTTCTTTTCTGGCAGCTGTCCTGTGCCTTCAAAAGCAAAGTGGAAGGAAAAAACATAGCCACTATTTTCCCTGCTGTAAGTTAGTAGTGATGGGAAACCTTGTATTCCTGCCAGCCATGCAGCTGTTACTACAGATTCTGTCGAGAAGGGTAACAGCTCTGTTCAAGAGTCATCCCTAACGACTGCCAGCAAGAAGTAGAAAGTCAATACAAAACTACTATTGTTAAAGGGGAAACTGTCCCTCCAGTCACAGTGGTTCTTTGGGTGTACTACCCACCTGAAGTACTGCTTTATCCCATCCAAGATTTTTTTTAAAAAGTCTTTTTAATTTGCAGCATGGCACCTAATTGTTTAAATAATGAGCATTTTGTTAACCAAAAAATTTCCTATGAGAAAACTTCAGTGGAAGTTGATATCCCAGTTTTCCAAAGAGGTAGTTCTAGTTGATCTACCCAGCTCTTGTCATCCTTATGCTTAACTGATTTTGGAAAAAACCTCTCTTACTGTTCTGTGACTGAAAATAAGCCCAGTACTTAAACCAGAAAGGTATAATATATTTGGTACAAATAGATTAAAAAATGCTAAGAATAAAATTGACTAGGCAAAAAACAAACAACCCTCCCCCCCGCACCCGTTTGTATTCAAGTTACATATTAATGGAATTTCAAATACATAAGACACATACACTTTGCACAAGGGTTCTAGACATTTCTGATGTTGCCAGGAAATTGTTGATTTTCTACTCATTTATCGAAAGTCTTAACCTGATTATGGTTTTGTCTTCAAAGTGGACCATTGGATATGCAGTGACCTCAGATGCTCCTTCAGGCAGTTGTGCTTATGCACCTGACCTGGCCCCTTCTCTAGAACCTTTTCAAATATGGATTTTTCTCTGCTTTCCTGGCAAATTTATTTCAGTATACCACCACTTGACTTGACAACCAGGTTTTGTCCCAGTACATACATGTAATTGGCATAAAACATTAATAGGGATAGTCACTGTCCCTTTTAAACTTTGGTCCCCAAGTCCAAGGGTGTAATTTCCACAATATTGTTTTTCTACATATGAAATCCAATTCCTTAAAACACCATTTCCTATTTTAAACAGCAGGTTAAACACATCTAAGAGAACACCTGCTTTTGCAAGATTATGTGGTTATGTTCCTTCAGCCATTTCATCAGTTAAATGTTTAAAATATTTATGCCTTGCCTCACCATAAAATTATACATAGTTTGCATGTACAAATTAGAGACTGAAAATTGGACATGGACATTCGTGCTGCACAGGCTCAACATAAAATGGCCCTTTGCAGACCAAGTGACTTACTCGTCCCTGTTCCTTTGCAGCCTAAAACGCTTGCTATCCTACATGTTTCAGGGACCAACAGAATAACTTATCTTAAAAATAAGACAATTAGTAGCTGTAGGGAACCAACATTACTATATAACTTTCATTCCCCATCATTGTAATTTTCAAGGTAATTTTCCATATCATTTAAATAATTCAGTATGCGGTGTACTTCTGCATCTGTTCTACAATAAAATGTAATCAGTAAATGTCAAATAGTATATGGCTGAAGGTAGGTTAATTATAATCACTGATTTTTATTTCAGACACACTTTCTTCATACATACATACATTTGTCAGGTTATCTGGATGTCTGACAGAAACACGCAGCAATCTGCAAAAACATTTTACTCTCACAAGAAATGAACACACAGTGTTGATACTATTGCATCACAATGGGATCCGTCTTGGTAAATTTACCATAGAATCTTATGCAGAATTACTCCAGTCTAAACCCATTTCCTCTCCACATAACACTGTAAATGCAAAAATGTGTACATATTACACTCCAACCCAAGTATGTTTCACTTTTGTCCAACCTGTTCAGAATATTCCCATGTATTCCAGACAGAGAGAACTCTCATAAGTGGCTTGTGGACTGTAGGTTTATCTACAGAATAGCAGAATGCTGACTTGTCCCAAATAAAACTATATCCTACACTTTTTCCTACTCTTAATCTGTATTTCTCATGCCTATAATATTGAAGAAAGTGAGTTACTTCTATCCATCCATGATAAAAGAAATACAAAAATTAACCTAGATAAACAAGATATGAAGAAAGAAGTTTATTCTTCAGTCATTGTGGATTTCTCTATCTCTTCTTCTGGAGGGTGGGATTTTTGCAGTCTACTGCTTTCTCTATCGATGGTAACCAGTGTATTCTGTCACTTTGGGTCCAACTCCTTTGGAAGCAGATGCTGTATTCGAAGTACAGTTGCAATTAGGGCAATGGTGGTATGCAGGAGTTCGGTGATGGGAAGATCGTGACATGGAAATGGCAGAAGCAGCTGCTATCATAGGCATAGAGAACCATGGGTTACAAAATGGAAGCAAACTGGCCCAATGAGCTTGCATGGCTGATAAGTCTGGATACATGGTTGGGAAGGCTGGCAGCCCCATCATTGGTGCAAAGGGGCTGTTGGGTACAGGAGGTATGACATGATACAAAGAAGTAGCAGATGTGGTGGTGGTGGAGTCTATTTCATGCGTGTTGACACGAGCATGGTTGGTGTGCTGGGGTAGATGGAAAGGAGCTAGCTGGTTTACTTTGTTATCATTGTCCTCAGCTGCAGCCTGTTCAGAGGGCCTCAAGGGGGCTGGAGAGGAAGGAGTATATCCACTTCTCATCCGGGCTGCTATGCCAGCAAGTCCCTTGCTCATGGTAGGTTTTCGGAGTCCAGATTTGTGCATGTTATCCTTTGGAGAAGCTGCAAGGAAGCTGTACTCTCTAGATGCATTTCCCAGTGTAGTTTGACCATCTGGGCTTCTTGACCTGCTCTTCAAGCAGCTTTCACTGTAGTCCTGTTCTAATGAGAAAGCAACCGGTGGGGTATTTTTTATCCCAACTCTTCTCTTGCACCTTGCAAGTAGGTGAGGACAACCCCTCTTGAAATTTGGGTTATGATAGAACTGTAACTAGGAAAAAAACACACCAGAGGAATAAATTAGGCTTCAGAGACAAATAAAATAGCAGAGTGAGGCATATAAAACTTAGTGTCTCCATACATCTTGTGTTTCAAAACATGCATATGAATTTAGACATTTCTTGAACTTTTTAATTTTGAACTGTGACAGTCTATGTAAATAAGAATATAGCATCTTTCTACATCATAAGAACATAAGAGACGCCAATGTTGGATCAGGCCAAAGGCCCATCCAGTCCAACACTCTGTATCACACAGTGGCCAGAAATACCAGTGCCATCAAGAGGTCCACCAGTGGGGCCAGGACATTAGAAGCCCTCCCACTGTTGACCCCCCCCCAAAGCACCAAGAAGACAGAGCATCACTTGCCCCAGAGTCCCTATCTATACCTTGTGGCTAATAGCCACTGATGGACATCCTTCCCCCTTTCCTAATAAAATCTAAGCAAAGTTATAGATTTCTGCTTGTCCCTGACTATACACATCTAAGGGCACTCACTTATTTGTTAACCAAGTGACCAGGATTTTCTGGAAACAAAGTTTGGTAGTTTCTGGGCAGTAACATGTTTCACCATCAGATGAAACATAAAATGTGGATGCTGTTTGGATGAATATCTAAATGTAATCAATCTGACCAATAACAGATGTAATATATAACCTAAAGTGTCTTATGTCTAATGATTCATTTCAGAAGTCACCTTTTTATACAGAAAGAAAGCTTTAGTTTAATGGTGTGGTGCTGCCAAAATTAAGCACTTCCAAGCATGCGCTTATATCTCTCCCACTGAAGTAAATGGGAGGTGTAGATACTTAACTTTGGCGGGAGTGGGCTCAGTCTCTTTGATCAAGCAATATGGATTTGGTGTTAAGAGACTTCAGTGTATTTGAATTAGTTTTCAGTAACCTGTTCATTTTAAGGGTAATTTAATACAACTAAATTTTAATCAATTTTTACAAAAAAGGACGATCCTATAAAAAACCGGTTGTCTCATGAGATACACTAGCATAACTTCCTTTTAAACACCAGAACATAATGGAATGCTGTAAACTGCTGGTTTTTGCATGATCTGCTTTATAGTACTAAGCTTATAGCCTGTCCACCAGCAATATGTGCACTCTGTGAGGGATCTGCACTCTATTGAGGGAGTTTTCTATTAAACTTAGTAAGGTTAGCAAAAAATTAATATGGGTACATAAAAACATAAGAGTAGCCATGTTGGATCAGGCCAATGGCCCATCCAGTCCAACACTCTATGTCAGACAGTGGCCAAAATCCAGGTACTATGATCCTTTTGTAATAACAACATATGCCACTTTTCCTTCAGGAGATATATATATATAATATTTGTGTGGCTTTTTTACCAAGGGAAATGCAAGGAGGTTTGCAATATATAGAAGGAAAGAGTACAAAACTACATTACCAATAACAACAGTAATACAAATCAAACAACAGTGCCAAAAACAACTACAGAGGAAGGAACAATAATAAAACATACAAACTTAGGCATCTTCCTCTTTTTCTTTTTGTAAAGAGTTGCTTCCCTGGCTATGTGCAAGTTTGGCATGGGGGAGGGAGAATTAAAGCTACTCCCCAAATTGAAAGAATTATCCAGTAATTTCAGGAGGATGTAGAATGTACATACTGGAAACCACGAACCACAAGTCAAAGAACTATATGCTAGGCAACAAAATGTTAAGAATTGTTAGATACTTTCACTGCAGATCACCAATAAAATGGTTACCATTTGTGTGCATGTACATGTAAATTGCAGTTTGTAATTAGCATGTACTGTATAAATGGAAGTATAGTATTCTAACATGCAGAAAAGTCTTTATCCTCAAATGACAATTTTTATGTTTTTATGGGGTGAAAGTGACACTAAACTGCTGCCATACTGGGCAATACTGGCTTTGGCTCAGTGTCTTGTCTCCTGCACTGGATGACTTTAAACAAGTTTATGAGAATTAAGACACAGACCGAATGAACACTGTCCCAGAGATTGCTGGAAACCATTGCCAGTGAGAATGCCTTATTACCAACTTATTCTAGGTATTAATGAATCTGACAGTCTCATCCTAAATGAATTTGTCTAATTCATATTTCAGTTAACTCTGCATTGTGTGCAAATGTATTTCAAAACCTTTCTATGCTGCTGCCTAGTACTCTCAAAAGGTATTCTCTTGCTCGCCATGATTAATACATAGCATTAACATTATGTATCAACACTGTATATGTAAAATTCAAAGTCAGTAGCACCTTAAAGACCGACAGATTTTTCCAAGGTATAAACTTTGGTGAGTCATAGCTCACTTTGTCAGATACCATAGCATACATAGTATTTTATGACTGAGAACAGAAATATTAAGAGGCCAAACTGTGCTCTCGGCCTGGAACCTATTTTGGTTATCTCATTATCTGTTCTATTCTGCACAAAGAATGAACAATCTGCAAACTAAATGCAATGGAAACTATGAATTTCAAGAAATCTTTACAAATAATGCTGACATCTTACCTTGCTAAATGCATAAGCTGCTTTTTCTTCTGCTAGAAATTCAACGAGAGAGGCAGATCTTTGAAAACTCTGTCTCATTTTGCTAAATCCATAGAGATTTAGCTGACGAATGAAACTTTTCATGCAGTCAGTTTCAAAAATACGCAGTGGTCCTTTCCTTTCCAAGACCTCCTTTTTGAAAAGCTCTTCATCAATCACTACACAATTACCATCATCATCCCACCACAGTGATTTAAACTGATCACTTTCAACAATTTTCCAGAGTTTCTTTGGGAAGGTGAGGGATAGAAAATCATTGTCTTCAACAGAACTGTCATCACTGAGAGCAAGCCGTGATTTTTTTACCCAGGGTCCATCATTTAAAGCTTGAAAAGCATTTTCTTCTATCATGGATCGTAAGGCAGTGTCACCAGCTGCTGTTTTATCATGCAACAGTGTAGATGAAATTGAGATTGCAGAATGAGCCATTTCATCTTCAGCTGAAATATGTTGAGTCTGTGCAGCAGGAAGGTCCATGTCCAATTTTTTCTTCTCACTTTGACAACTTTTTTCAGCTGTAGCCATTTATGCTAATAGTCAAACCATGCTGATAAGGCAGCAGTAGGCCTTTTAAAATGATGCTACCTTGTGGGAGCTTCAATAAGGAGTTCTAGAACATCACAATGAGACTATCTTGTGTGGGTGTGACATCACAAAATGAATTCTGGTTTCCTAGCAAACGAGATCATAATGACAAAACTAGACATTTATTACTTCATTGCTGAACAAGAGGAATTAGGATGGAAACATTGGATTAAGTATTCTCTGCAAAAATAGTATATACCAGTTGTAAATTTTGTATGCTCAAGGCAATTTATACTAACAGGTTTTTGAGGGTTTTTTTGTTAACTGGAATCCTCTACTGCACTTGAATAAAACTACTATTATATTATGAAATCCATGAATGTTGAAACACAAATCTGGGGAAAACATTATCAGTTGCATTAACACTAGAGTGTAATACAATTCACAGAAAAACTTGCCTGCAATAGCCCCTTAAAGTGTGTGTGTGTGGGGGGGGTGTCTCTCAGAGTGATCTCCATGCTGTACTCTTGTAGTACCGAAAACTCATCAAGGACCTTCTGGCCTTTCACACAAGAGAAAGGGAAGCAACACTTGGACTTAAAGATATGAACCCCATTGTTATCCACCGTAAGGGAGTGGTGGTGCAAGCAGTAAATGCCTGCAGTACTCCATCTGACCGAACAGCTTCAGCTGTTTGAGTCCTACCGCGGCCGGGGTGAGCTCTCGGCCCTTGTTCCAGCTCCCGCCCACCCAGCGGTTCGAAAGCCTTAAGCAACTAGATAAATTGGGTACCTACTCATTAGGAGTGGGGGGCACCCTTCTCCCCCTTGGCTGAAGTTTCACGACGGCGACGACTGCGGCAGGCTGGCGAGCGGGCTGAAAGGAAAAAGATGGCAGTGGCGGCGAGGCAGTAAGCAGGAGCGATTGGCCCCGGAGGACAGTGCGGCAGTGACATGAGGTGAAAGGCTGGCTGACTGGAGGGAGCCAAGACGCGGCAAGATCGTACGTTGCCGAAAAACCCAGCAGGGGTCGCTGCTGAAAAAAGAATGGAAGACCTGCGCCTGCATCTAGCAAAGACCTGAAAGACCTGCGTCAGTAAAAACATCGCCAGCACCAAGCAAGAACCGCCGTGGAAAAAAGCTAAAAAGAAAAGACCCTGCCGAAAATAGGGGGTGCCTGGGTAAGGAATTCACCTTCCCTGTCTATGTGCCCCTAGGTTAGAAAAACTGTACAAACTATGTAAACCGCCCCGAGTCTACGGAAAGGGGCGGTATAAGAAATCCAATGTGTAATGTAATGTAATTATTTAGTTTCAGCTTTGGAGACCAAGATGCCAAATACTGAAGTCCCTCCCTAACATAAATACCGTTCCTTTATTCCTAACAGCAGGTGCTTACATCCTACATAAACTAAGAGTTAAAACACCTTGCACACTTTGTATGGCAAATACATAGTTATGTTTTTTCAATTTTAAGCCACTTGTTAGGGAGCAGCTTTTAATCTGCCTCACTTATAAAGAGAAAGTAGTTTCTCATCTCCACCTCTGGTCCTCCTTACACTGATTTCCTAGCTAATCACAAGCAAATCCCCAAGTTTTGAGCCCACGGTAAGTACCAAGATGCCATTGCAGCAGGACACACGTTCAGTCCCCACAGAAGGGTTGCTGATAGGAAGGTCTGAGATCCTGGAGGTGGGCGATCTTTCTCCTTGGTTGCATAAAGTTGTTGCTGCTGTTAACAACAGCATTATGCAGCCAAGGAGACATATCACCCACCTCCAGGACCTCAGAACTTCCTATCAGCAACACATTTGTCTTGTCTGGATTCAACTTATTAGACATGTCTTTGCTGTTACAAAAACGTGTGGCAGCAGTTGATATGGCCACCTTTTTCATCTGTACCTGATGCACAGATTATCAGCCCATCTTGGAGAGGGCTAACTTTGCTGTGCTGATTCATCCTTATGCAACATCCAGGTTAGACTGCTGTAATATCCTGTGTGTCAGGCTGCCTTGGAGATAGCTCAGATGCTTCACCTAGCTCAAAACTCAGCTGCCCATTTATTAATTGGTAAGAACAGCTTCCATTATGTGACACCACTTCTGAACACTTTCCCTGGCTTCCTGCTTTCTTCCAGATTCATTTCAATGGCTAGTACTGATGTTTAAAACTTCATGACCTAGGACCTACATTTCTGAAGAACCATCTGTCTTCCTACAAGTGTGCATGGCAGCTAGGCTTTGTGGACCAAAACTTGTTAATGATGCTGCCTTCACAACCCACTCCCATGCCTTTTCCAAAGCCGCTGCACAACTATGAAACACTCTCCTTCTTGAGGTCCAGAGGATCACTTTATCACTGGCTTTTAAGATGGTGAATACACTTTTTAAATTTACAGTTTATTTGTATGAAGTTTCAGGGAAATATTTAATACCTGGGCTGTTAAGACACAAATGGTGATTTTTTTAAAAAAAGAAAGATGCTTTTAATTCATTAATTAAAAGCCATCTTGGGCTCTGATAAGGGAAAATAATATATATAATATATATATTTATTCATTGAAAGTAAACAAGTAATATGAACAAATTTTGCACCTATTTGGCTCAGTCTGATTGGTGTATTTTCGTCTGGGGTTACAGATGTTTAGTAAAAATAACACTAAAAAATAACACTAAGTGTTGAAGGGGAAGAACGACACTAGCTCTGAGTCTTTTGTACACACCTCTAGAGCTCTGCTGTACAACTAGATAAACAAAACCTTGATAGTATGGTTTTATTCAGGTGTCTTTTCTGTCCTTTAGGATTTAAATAGTAACTCTAGGAAACTTTAGGATTTAAATAGTAACTCTAGGAAACTCTGACCTTAGCAAATCTATGGCCCATTTGCACTGGAGGAATCTGCAAAGACTTGTGTGGAAAGGGGATACGGGGGAAAGTGAAGTATTCCCCATACTACTACTACTTTCCCTCCTCCTAGAAACTCCCATATCCTCACCTTTCCCTGCTTCCTTTTCTTCTTCACACCCACCCACATTTCATCTGTCCCCCAACTTCAGCTATCTTTATTATTTATTTACATCCCACCTTTCTTCATAATGCGAACTCAGAGCAGTTTACATTATTCTCCTCTTCTCCACTGTATGCTCACAACAACCCTATAAGGCAGGTTAGGCTGATTGTGTGTGACTGGCCCAATGTCACCTAATGAGCTTCCACAGTGGAGTGGGGATTCAAACCTGGGTCTCCCAGATGCTAGTCTGAAGCCACTATACACACTGGCTTTTGTAGGGCAGCCACTATTGAACAATAGTAAGCAGATGGGCCTGGGTGAATCACTCAGTAGTTGATGCTGACCCATGTCTTAAAGCTACAGACACTGTTTTCATCATTTGGGAGTTTCTGTAAAAAAAAAAAAACCCCCCCCCCCCCCCCCCCCCCAGATTTCAGATTTTTCTGCAAATCTCAGTTGTTTTTCAGGTTGGTTGATAGAGCTGTCTTTTCCATTCACAGCCCCAATCTCCAAATGTAAGTACCCTCAGATATGGCGAGATGAGAGGGATATGTGTGTGTGTGTGTATATATATATATATATGTATGTATGTATGTGTATATGTATGTGTATATGTATGGGTATATATATATATATGTATGTATGTATGTGTGTATGTGTATGTATGTATGTGTATATGTATGTGTATATGTATGTATGTATGTGTATGTGTTTATGTATGGGTATATATATATATATGTATGTGTGTGTGTATGTATGTATGTATATATATATGTATGTGTGTATGTGTATGTGTGTGTGTATATATATATATATATATAATCTTTCACAACACAACTAGCACTGACTAACAATGTTGATATCATTGAGCTGTTTTGTGTTTGTGAGTTGACAGGAATTTTACACTCTAGCGTTATAAAACATCATGTCACACAATAGTAGTTTTGTGATAGCAGTCTTAATATCCAACCAATTGAAGTTACTAGTAATTTCCAGGAATCAGCACTATCTGAGAAGTGGAAGATTTGCATCCTCCAGTACAGGAGCCAGCAGATATAGGGACAAAGTGAATATGATCATTCTTTCAATCACACAGTATAGGAAAGAGATCTAACCATCCTCTTATCAAGAACACTGTCAAAGTGCTTTGAAAAATTACTGGTTATTCTACTTTCTGAAAACAACTTCTCTTTCATCATACGCTAATGAAGTGTTTTCACAACTGAAGTTGACTCCTTTTTTCAAGTACTGAGCATAAGAGACCTGCTAGTGATACATGTAGATACTTTACTGACAGTAACATTTCAACAAATATTGAAAAGCAACTTTCCAAAACAATAGTCCCCACTCATTTCTCTACACAGTACAAAGATTGTGGTTATTTACACAATAATTTACATACATTTTTTATGATCATTTGATCCATTAAAAGAGGAAGAACACTCAAGTCCTACCTGAGGACATTCCTGAAACATAGCGTCCATGGTTCAAAGAAGAAAGGAAAGGCAAGTGGATGCCAGTACAATAATACCATGTGGCTAGGGGACTTCAACATAAATGGAAGCGAAGTATACAAAATTAAACAGAAAAGATGTCATTCACAAGAGATTATGCATTTCATACAGTTTCTTAAAAAAATACTTTTAACATATTTATACTGTACAGATTTTTTAAAAAATATATTACATTGCCAAAAGTTCATATAAATACTATACAGGCAAGCTTTAATCCAATCAATCAAAAAGGTTCCCACCCACTGCCAACGCAAACCTAGCCTCTCCCCATTTGATACATTTGTGCAAAGGCTATTGATTTCAGCCAGACTTGCCCATGCGTAACTGTGGTTAGGACTGAAGTTTATGAATACAGTATTTCAAAAGCTTAGTCATATTGTAGGACTCTACACAGGTTAAGAGCATAAAAATAAATTCCATAGATCATTACTTGATAGGTGCAGATGGGACAAGGTGTTTTTTGTTTGTGAACCTTGTTATAGCTATTGTCTCCTCACAGATTTACTGGTATGGCATTTCATGTGC